ATATTGTTATGTTAGAATTTGAATGCCTCAGCAGAGACTCTGCTGAACCCACAAGTACATAACTAAGCTTGACATAATTAAATTTTATGCATAAAGAAACTGTTTATAAGATGCTGCTTTAAATTCCCAAGAGCAGAAAATCGTGCGCTTTACAAAGATATTTTAATTTCTTAATAAGTCAATATTTATAATATATGCACACTGTCAATATTTTACGCATCTTTGCATTCAGCTTAGACTTAGTGCTAGGGGCAGGGCATTCAAATTTTAACAATACGCCGCTATTTCAATGGTTTTGGGTTTTGGGGGGTTTAATTTAAATGAATCGGCAATGCAATTATATGCTGTCTTTAAATTTAGAGAATCCAGCTCATTGTTCTCTAGTCACTCGTTGTTCTGAATTTTCTTTACATGCAAATTTTGTTATTCCCTAATGTGAACTTAATACTACAATATGCAACTGATCATTGAACTAGTTTTAGCAAAACTGACTAAAAACATATTTAGAACGTCGAAATTTACTAGGCCGAAATCATCACATTTCTACGACGAATAAAATGTTTTGCTTCATAGAATAAGTGATATGAAATCGTTCAGGTTTGTGAGGAAAGTCATTTGAGTCATCGAGAGAAAAAAGAGAAGTCCAAACTGCCGGCAAACACCGATTTTAATTTAAAGCAAAGAGTATAGTTGTTTTGTCAGTTGTGCTATGCGGCGCAAGATTTAAAGTCAAGGGAATGGCTTCATTGCTGATATGAGAGGATTCTTTCTGGCCACTGAAGTAAGTTTGAAAACTATGTTTCGGGATAAATATGTCCGTGAACTGAGAGTTTAAAAAGTACCATTCTGTTTCCGCCATATTTATTCTTCGATTTTGTACTGAACTCGTTACACTAACGTCACAACTGGAGGAATACTAGCTAGACCTACAGCCCCACACCGCGTATTATTTTACTCTGCCTAATGCCAGATTATTTTAACCTAACAGTATAAATATTCAGTCAAACCATTAGCTTATCTTCATTTATATAAAATGAGAACTAATATTACTATTTATTATCAATATTAATTATCAATCAAGCACCTCCTGCATCTCCGAGATATTTCCTTTTTGAAACAGTGAACACAGAAAATCCTTCCTCTGCTAACAACTGATCTGTTTGCTCTGGATTTGCATTTCCAATACCAAATAGCTTAATTCAAAAATATGATACATTTAGTGACATTTTTAATAATTTTGACAAAACTTATTTACAGTAAAAAAACCTGAGTAAGTACATGGGGGACGAGTATGCACATGGGCGTACGGGAAGGAAAAAATTAGGGGGCGGAAAGAAAGTTGCCCGACTTTTTCGGATTGCACGCCCGAGTTGTCAAAAAAATTTTCCGGAGAAACTTTCCAAAGTTGTTGTCAACGGGGGGGTTGCCTGCTCACAGACGTTGTTGAATTTCCCACAAAATTGACAGAATTTGTCCCATTTATTTTTATAATAAGCCAATATTTCCCAACTGTGAAGCGAATATTGCCCAACTGGCTTTGATTGCCCCAGTTTCCCCTCCCCCCCCCACCAACCCCCCTCCCCGGCCAGTACGCCCATGAGTATGCATTCTTGACTTGCAATGATGTGGGTGATGGCCATGTTGGTCCTTATTCAACAAAAGAATCTTATTAACTTTTGAATTTGGCACCAACATGGCCGCCATGCCATTGTCTTGTAATTCTCAAGGGAATTTGATTGCAAGTCAAGAATTAACCTTGCCCTTAGCATACCACATCATACGTACTTGACCATACCACACCATATCATCCTATACAATCCCGTACCACACCATGCTAACACATACCACACCATATATCATACCTGGCATGGCATGATATGGGATATGGTATGGTTTGACCATATCACACCATTCTAACACATACCATACCAGACCACATCGTATCATCCCATATACCATGCCGTACCATACCACATGATACCATACCGCACCATGTCATCTCATTCCACACAATACCATACCACACCATATAACCCCATACCAAATCATTAGATAAAATAAAATGTTGCTAAGTTTATCCTCAGTTGAATTTAATATCTAGTGTACCTCACTCCAGTCGACTTCAGCCTCTGGGTTAGCAGCTATCTTCCTAAATAATGCTTTCACATCATGACTATTCACATCTGCACCAAATAAACTTTTGATTTCTGCACAAAATGGCTCATATCCTGCAAACACAGCAGCATTGTCATACATAAACTGAACTTCCCATGTACCCACCCCTTCACTGATATGCCCCATATATGGGTTTAGTCCTTCACACCCTGTATTAATCAAATTTCATGCATGTTCTTGGATAAGCAAACTAGTTGGCCTACTTGGGCATTTTAAGGGGTTGGGTAGTAGAGTCACGGTCACAGGCCCCCGCGGTGATAATTACCAAGGTGAAGTGTGTGCCTCAACAGGACTCCTCAATCCCTTACAACTGACAGCTACACAAGCTATGGCACTGTATGAGCTAATCATACTATTTTCTAAAATAAGTTTTATATAACATCAGATCATTTCACAGTAGTCCATATTGAAAACCGTGACAGTCCTACACCAGCATTCTATCAACCCAAGGTGGCAAGGTGCATATTTCCATGTACAAAACTTTGATGATCTCAAGAATGGAGATTTCTGGTGAAATTCAAGTTTGCTTTGGCGTATGTACCGTATATCATTTACATGCATGGAATACACTCTCGGCATAAACTGCGTGATGAAAGGCGACATGCTGATGCATGACCACTACATACCATTGGTTAACCGCTCTTGTAACTCTAGCCGTCTTTCCTCGGGATTCAATTCTTCATCAACATGTGTAAATTCCTCAATAAATCTCTCAAATAATTCTAATTTTCGTCCAAAACTACCAACGGTATATGGTCGTGAACTCGTTTTTCGTTGCTCCATATAAACACAACTTCATATGATACTTTGTTTACAGTATATCACTGAGCCAAGTAGCCATTTACCAAATGTAAACAAACGGCGAAACGCTCATTCCACTACTAGTTTTTGCGTGGCGATAAAATACATCATACTAAAGTAAATGCACAGTTTTAATCTGTACTTTCATAGTTTTGTATAGTCTTGCCGATCAGTCAACAAAAGTGGTTAAAATTGATAGTTTTGTTTGCACAAATTTTGGATTTTTTACAAAATCACGCTATCACTATGGTAGTAAATGAGCAATAGATACTTTGCATGTATTATTTATGTTGACCAATCAGAGAGCAGAATATTGTTCGAGAGTTGGCCAATTAGCAGTGATTTCGTTAGCGGGAAAAGCACTGAAAATTGGCGGGGAAAACAATGTGTTTGATCAATGGTTTGATGACGACTGTTTCAGGTCAGAGGTTTCAGGTTAAAACTCCTTGTCGACAAGTAGTTTCGCATTACATTACAATTCAATTTTTCAAATGTAAATATCGCGGCGAGTATTTACCCCCCTTTAAAACAAAACCCACCATTGTAATCCTCACAAAATAACCTTTCGAACGGGGGGTCAAGTGTTGTCGAACATTATACAAACCAAAACAATCATATAGTTATACTCACCGCTTCGCCAAACATTCAAACGATAAAAAGAGAAAAAGTTGAATATCTTCTAAACTTTTCGTCATTTTCGGAAAGGCTATATGTGCAAAATACTCTTTGTATTCAAGCGCTTTAGTGTAGAAAGTTTCGTATGAATACGACGAGTAGAAATATTTATTTTGAATTTTTAAAGTATCGGGTTTTACTCGCACGCGCTTGTATTACGTAATACTTGGCCAATAAGGAGCTCCCTTTAGCTGGGATGACGTCAAACTCACGCGTATGGGTGCACTTTGACCTGTAGAATCCATTTCTGGCATTTCCAGAGTCACACGATACAAGCGTAGCATTGTTTTGACGAGTTTTTGTCGTATTTCCAGTTGGGATTATCGCAAATTCGGAGCAGAAATGTAAAATTCGGCACTAAAAGTCACCCTTTAAGGATATAAGCTTGGAAATAACGTTATACATGGCATTTTAAATGATTAGTTCGTCAAGAATATCACAATGAGCATACGTTTCAAGGGGCCGAAGTTATATTCGGCGAAAGGTATGTTTATGTTTTTATAATTTGTTGGTAAAATGCGTGATTTGATCGTAACTGATCTCGCTTTACTTCTCGCTTTACTTTTAAAGCTCATAAATCGCTATAATGTTGCCAATGACTAAAACTATTGCTACGAGTGAGGAGATCTAGTCACACTGAATCGAATGGTGGTATTTTTGTCCTCATAGCATTCAATGAACCGAAGATATTAAATCGGCAAAGCGTATTGCTTACAAGCATTGCGGTAATAGGGTCGTGTCGTTAAGGAGTTAACGTAAATAACTTTGATGTTGCAATCTGAAAAGTTTCCCTGACCACGGTTGGTTTCCCAAAGGTCGCGAGTTCGATTCCCACCGTGGTCTGAAACTTTTCAGCTTGCCCGGTGTGGATGCAGGGCCTGTTTATACTGATCCCGCCTAGACGGGACGGGACGTTTTCATCCCGCCTAGACGGGAAACTCGCCTAGTGTTTATATGGACACAGAATAGATAATAGGACCAGAAGTCTTACTCAAGCGGAAACATGTCCCATCTTTTATACTGCGCATGCGCGAGCTAAACAAGTGTAATGCAGTGTTGACAATAGAAAATTATATTGGGAAGTTGTCATTTCTACAGTAAAAACAGCTTTTTTTTTCAAGTAGTACGGAATGTGACTTCGATTTATCTGTGCAACTATTTGAACAGAAGGTAAAGCAGTAATTTTGTTGTATTTAGAAAGCAAACAGGGTCATATTTTTAAAAATATAGCGCACTGAATATAAATTTGAGCATCATTAAAATGTGTTCGCTATGATGCTATTTTGTCTCCGGTATATACGGAGTTCTGCTTTTATACTTGTGGATATTCTAATTTATTTGGCTCAAAAACACCATTACTTCAATATCCCTTTCTTGTTTTTCCTTGGATAGGTTTTAACAAGATAGAACTCTAGATCACTTGGGTCCAAAGACGCTAGATTATAAAATCCTGATGTGACTTGATACTACAAATAGAATATGTCTTATGATTTAATACTACAAATAAAATGTCTTTTAAGTACAAACTTCAATGAATTGATAAAGTGTAAGGATAGTGTTTAAAGTTGCTTCATGTGTAGAAGCTGAATTACTTTAGTTTATACACTGTATATTGTCGAGATCACATGTTGATATGACTTAATACCAGCAACTTGCAATAAGTGGTCTGTTCTGCTTGTTTATAATACTTTAGAGTTTGGACATTAGAACATTGTAATTGCCTGACAGAGACTGTTAGGGCCTGTTTGTATGGAAGCCGGGTTGGCCCGCTTAGTGAGACAGCCCGGTAAGGTAGGTAAGCAGGATGATTTCTCTTGTGTTTATTTGAGAAAATTTCATTCCGCTTACCGGGACAATTTTGTTGTTTTGACATTATTTTGACAGTTGTTAAAAATAGCTTGCGGCAGTATCTTTGAACTTTCATCCCGGCAACCGGGCTAGCCTGCTTATGATTGTTTAGGTGGAGAAATTTCCATCCTGGTCTTGGCAACCGGGCCTGCCCGCTTGTCCATAGAAATGATATTTTTTACTATAAAAATAATTAGACAACGAGATCTCACTTACCGGGCTGTCTCACTTAGCGGGCCAGCCAGTTTCGATATAAACAGGCCCTTAGACAACTACTAAAAGCTGCAAGTTTCTTTAAAGCAATATCATCTATATCACAGAATACAGTTTCTGTAGTGATATACTTCGTGTTTTTTCTGTCTTTATTAAAGTGTCTTATGTTTGTAATATTTTTGTACAATACCTTTTTGAAATTGTTGATACTGGTCTCATTGTAACTCAGTTATTCCTTCTCAAGAAAAATAAAAAACAAAGCTGTGTTGGTGTGTTTTTGCTCTAGCTATAGTTTTTACATTTACATGGTTCATGTACAATTAATGTACATTTAAATTAGCTTTGTTCAATGAATACAGGTGTGATTCTAATATCATTCCTGTCAGGTACTTGGGTCAAACAGACATAAGCATACCAAATCATGCTGTGAATTGAAATACAAGTATAGGGTGTGTATTGTTTAATAAATAAATTTTCCAGTTAACCCAGTAAGCTGCATTGTGCCCCAATGCACCCTACTTTATTAGTTTATTTCACTTCATCTAATGCCAGATGATTTTACTTATCGAGGGAGAGTGCTGCTGCTGCTCATTGAGCTCTGATTGAGTTCACTGAGTGGCAGCAATTTCCCCTTGACGAGTGAAATTGTCTGGCGTTAGACAGAGTAAAATAATCTTGCGTTCAATCAAGTAGCTACTTTTTCAAAAGCTCAACCAGGCTAAAGATTCTTTGATTTGAAACCCAAAGTGATAGTGAACTAGTTAGTTGAAACAAACAGAATTGTTTGATGGATTTACTTTCCACAACATTGACAATTAAAATTTAATTTGATACTTTTCCAGTACTCACTCTTCATTGACATTATATAGGTTCAGATTTGACTACCATTACTGTTAAGGGACCATCAACCAATCAAATGCATTCGATATATTCGATCAGCCATTATAACCAATCAGATGCATACTAAGGCAGTCAGAGATAGTGGTAGTAGAACTCACATCTGAACCTCTATAATGAAAGTGTGAGTTTATTCATAAACTAATTATAAATCAACTTCCATGCAATGCTTCATGCAATCATCTAGTTATGCACCAGTCAATGTAAATCCCTGCCCCCAACCGGGGAGGGGTGGGAGGTTTAGCAGGGA